GCGGACGACAATTGGTGATCCAGTAGTCCTTTTACTTTTTTGGCAGTGTGCGCTTTAGCTCCAGAATAGATCACACTGTTGTAGTTTGTATGCCTGGACGTAGAACCCCAATTGGGGATTTTACACTAATCACTGTATGTTAATTAAATGTAATTACTTTTTTCTTTAAATAGAAGAAATTGGTTTCCAATTTACTATCAATTGGCACAGATGGGAAACTTTTGTAGAAATTTATAGATTTTTTGAAAGATGTTAATCGGTCCCGCACACAGAACAAAAATGCCGGCTCTCTGACCTTGCACTCTTGCAGCGGTCAACTCGTGTCCCCGTGACTAGTTTACGGACTCGTTTATGTTAATAAAAACACCTGACAAAAATATTGAAGCAAACAATTTGTATCTAGTTTACCTACTTATATAATTTTAGTTTATTATAAGGAGATTATTTTATTTATTGTGTTAAGCTTGCACGTTTATGTAAATTAGGTTTATGTAAATTAAGCATTTAGTAAGTAGGTTGTATGTATAAATAGATAATTATTGTAAATAGATTATAAATGTAAATAGGTAAATTTATTAATTTGTTAATCCTATAAAGTAGTGTAACGACAACGTTACAATGTCAGAACACTACCATGTGTTTACAACAACGGCTGTTATCTCTAGCAACGGCGTAAAAAACCATTGTATACAAAATGTTACTTCTTGTGAGCTCTGGGGTTGCTGTACAATTTGGCAAACGAAATTATAAAATATGACTGCCCTAAACTGAATATTATTATTAATCAAGATATTTATTCGCTGAAAAGTGTAGTTACCAATGAACATATTATAGTATATTTATATTAGATCTTACATTTCATCAAAACTAATTTTTACACTTTTCTTATTTTACTTTTTAGTAGCATGCATGTAAAGTTAAATTTATCCAATAGCACAAAAAACGAACAATTAGAACTTAATCAAAAAAAACGAAGTCAAAAATATAGCATTTTAAATTTTATATTGTCAAGAAAAAAATCATCAATGTGTAGTAGCATTTAGTAACTAACAGGTTGTGCGATTTCATTTTAAATTATCTACAATTTACTTATTTTACAGCGTCCGGTAACTTATTAAATAATTTGGTGCTAATAATACAAACATCCTTTCACTGTTAAACTTCCAAATGAGGGTGTTACTTGAGCCATATTTCTATTTTATTTCTTGTGTTCCTAGGATATCTAGTTTTCACTAAATCGAAATGAAACGTGTGCTGTTCTTATGCAAAAAAAACATATCAGTTTAATTTTCAACTTCGCACGAAACTGACTTATACACATGCATCTGTTAATAAAATCATTAATGCTTCATTATTTAACAAGCTGTCAGGACTTTTCCTTTAAAAGAGTAAAAGGGAACGTTTAAATAAAACACATTTACTTTATGAGCAGGTCGCTATTGTAGCTGTTAAAAAAAAAGAAGAAATGTAAATGTAAATGTAAAGGTACTAACTGGATGTTAAATCTTTCAAAGATTTCTCATAGATGGCGCTACGACTAAAAAGTCGTTGAAAAACCAAATACAAAGACACGACGCAAGCACATAGAAAAATTCATAAGGTCCGTTGATTCGTTCCGTGGCTTAGTTGGTATAGCGTATAGCACGGTATGCAAGAAGAGGTTCAAATCCGACCGGATTGAAGGAATGTTTTGTGTTAAGTGTTCGATCTTTGTATTAATAATTATAACAAACTAGTGGAGTAATTTCACAAAAAAGAATTGAATATCAATTCAATAAAAATTTAATTAAAGAAGAAATGGTTTACTGTTCGTCAATTTGGCTTTTATATATTTCGAAGCTTATTTTTGCGGTTACAACTCACCAAATTTGGCTAATACATTTTTTGTAGAATCCCAGGTAGGTTACACTTTCCTTAAAAGTGGCCAATGTGTGAAAATCCTTAATTAATGTACGAGGTAAAATAATTGTTATTAACTAAATTAAATGATGTAACTTGCGCTTTTGAAAGCGAGAGTGAAGAGGCATTATACGTATATGTACTTACCTCTATACGTGTACATGTCCCATCGCCTACCCTGTGCATCAGAAGATGTGAGATCAAAATTAAATGCGCCCAAATTTTATATTAATTAAAAAACATTTCGGACGAAATTGATCTAATAAAACTACAGTTAGCTCCAAGCGATTTATATAAGGTTCAGACTAGACTTTTGATAGTTTTGAGAAAAGATATCGTTTAAAAAATTTATACGGTTATACCAAAACTTGCTTTTTTCATTTTTTTTTTCTTTTCGAAAATGGGGTACTGTGCCGCCGTCTTGATAAACGAGAATCTATAAAAAAGATTTCAAAAAAATTACAATTTATTTTCAAAACCTTATGACGCACAAAATCAATCCATCATTCATTTGTATTTATAAAAGTTTTTAACACAAACTTAAGGCAATGGTAACTTTAATACTTCCTCTCGTTCATTCTCAGTGTCGATTGCTAATGTTTGAGAGGGAGAAAGTATAATGTGAATCTCAAATTTAATTTGTATGGACTGTATTCTTGTGCAACGGTTTTTATGGTTTAAATGATTCAAGTACGGATTTCCGGCATACAAAATGCATCAAATAGATCAAAAGGCACAATTTGTTGTGCAAAATATTTTGACTTCTATACTTTTGTTCGATATTTTACCTTATTTTGTTCATAAAAGTTTGTAAAGAGAAAACGCACACTTGTGTTAATAATAGAGTTCTGAGTAACCGTTAAATGTACATTGTACATATAATACGCAAAACGTTCAAGTTACCTATATTATTTGACTAACTGTGATCGTAATTTCGTACGCACAAACATGTATCACATACGTTTCCTACTTACGTAATACAGGACGGAACTACTACGGACTATTTTACATAAAGGAAATATTATTTTTTCGCTTCTCATGCTGTTCGTATTTATGTAGGCTGCATAATATTTTTAATAGGATTTTTCTAGTACATAAAATAAAAAACCATCACATTAAATATGTCTAATTGTTGTAATTTTACATTCAATTTTAATTAAATAATCGTTTCGAGTTCTTAGGTTTTCGCGATTGTTACACATAGGAAATGAAACTATTTTTCCGGATTTAATGGGCGATGGGCTCCCCGGTATCTCCTGTTGTTGCCGATATTTTCATGGAAGACTTCGAGGAGCGAGTTTTACCCATGGCCCCAGCTAGGCCGAAGATTTTCAAACGGTACGTTGATGATACTTTCACAATATTACCTAAAGATAGCATACCTTCTTTCTTGGACCATCTTAATTCTTTTAGTACTAAGATCCAATTTACTATGGAACAAGAGAATTGTGGTAATTTAGCTTTCTTAGATGTTTTAATTAAAAGAAATCCTAATAATACCTTAGGCCATACTGTATTTCAAAAGAAAACCCATACAGACAGGTATCTCAGTGGTAATTCCCATCACCATCCTAGCCAGTTAGCTATCGTGGGAAAATCTTTGTTTCAGAGAGCATATGGTGTCTGCGACAGTAATCATCTGGCAGGGGAACTTCAGCATATAAATCAAGTCCTACATGCGAATAAGTTGAAGATTCCACGCCAATGCCGCAGGCCCCGTGTGAAACCACCAACAGTCGAGCGAATACCTGCCATCTTACCTTACGTGTGAGGTGTTACAGACAAGATCGGAGTCCTCAGGCGTGCATCTATCAAGACCTATTTCAAGCCCCTGAGGAAGATTTCTCAGTTCCTGAGACCCGTGAAATGTAACATCCCCTTACAGGATGCAGGAGTTTACAAGCTTGACTGTGAGTGCGGTCTCTCTTATATTGGACAAACAAAGCGAAGTATTTGTACCCGCGTCAAAGAACATATAGCTGATGTCAAACACCGTCGCGTAAACAAGTCTGCAGTCTGCAAGCATGTCATGGATAAACCTACACATTCAATGAAGTTTGACAAACCCCAGGTCCTTGCAAAAGAATTCCGTTATCTACCCAGGATGCTGCGAGAGGCCATTGAAATTAAAAAACATCCTAATTTCAACAGGGAAGATGGTTTCTCCGTACCACTAGTTTGGGATCCAGTATTTCCTCTAATGAAAAATCCCAAACAGACATAAGACTGCAGTACTAATTAATATGTTTTAGTTTATTCTAATTTCTATTAATAATTAATAATAAATTAAACTTAATAAAAATTCATTCAATAAAATAATTTGTAAAACTTAATGTAGCGTAAATTGGAATGTTTTCTTTGTAAAATTAAAAATAAGGTATTTAATTAATAACTATTGTAACTATAGTGAAAAAATAGGGTGGTTTGCATTAATATTAGACATAACTGGTTGAAGACTGTACCACCTCAGTCAACCGTGACCATGGGACCTGTAAAGGGCCCGAAACGTCGGTTTGTTTGAAAAGACAAATATACGCGATTTAAATCCGGAAAAATAGATTCATTTCCTATAAATAATTGTTTAT